CCCCATTCTTGGTTGTCCACTGGCTCGTCAATGTCTGCTGATTGCTCGACGTTTTCGGTTTTGGGCTGAAGGAAGAATACTTGCGGGATCTTACAGTGATGGCCCAGTCTGAATTTGTCTCCACATGCATAACAAAAGCCCTTTTCCCGTCGGGCTTGCATCTAAGCCCAGGTTAACCTCTTGGCTGAGCCGGGGCCTGAACCAGAGTTGGCTTCCTTGCTTGTGATTCCTTCTCCTGGTCTACACTCCGGTTTACCCAAGATACCCGGTTCTGGATTCGGTATACATGGTCTGACCACAACTCCCAAAGGTTGATCAATCCTTCTTGCCCGATTTAGTTTGTCTTCATGGAGTCGAGCTAAGGCTGCTGCGTCAAGAATAGTGGTGGGTTGCATGGCTTTAACCTCCAGCCGCAATTCTTCCCTGAGTCCACCAACAAAACTGCCGACAAAGTGCTTTTTCTAGCCACCCTTGCACGCGCACAGCTAACCTTTCGAACGCCATCTGATAATCTTGGACGGAGTCGGTCTGTCATAGCTTAGCGAGGCTTTCATCATAGTTTTCAAAAGCCGAGACTCCAAATCTCATGGTTAAGGCATCGGTGAAGTCCACCCATGTGGCTCTTGGGTGCCATCGCCGGTACCACTAGTACCAGACGATCGCCTCCCTTCCAGGTGTGCGGAAGCTAATGGAACACGATCAGGTCCCTGCGTATTGTGGTAATCGAAGTACCTTTCGGTTCGCAGAAGCCAGGACGTGGGATCTCCCCCTGCGAAGACGGGAAACTCGATTCTTGCCGTTCTTGATCCGCTTCGATGACTGGTATCACTACGTTCTTCCTGCCCTTCCCGATTCGGCACTGGTGGTGTCTGTTCCAGTCGCTCAAGCAAGGATGCGAAGCTTTCTTTTATTTCTTTGACGTCAGCCAATAATCTTTGCATTGCTCCGACCCTAGGTGGGACCGGCCTTCCCCAYACTTCTTTAGAAGGGAAGGGAATGGCAGGAGAAAGAGAGGGTTGATCTAGGGCATTGAAAAAGGAGGCACAACTGAAAGAGCCAGAAGAGGAAAGGGTCCAAATTTGGGAATCCCCCTCTGACGGTTCTAAGAAGACCTTTTGAAGTACCTGAACCAGGGACCACACCAACTCCATCTCAGAATCTCTGAGACCTCATCTGAAACCCAAATCCCAATTAAGTTGAGGTCCTGAACCAACAAATGAAACTAAAGATGAGGCAGTTAAGTTTTTGTACCTAGAAAGGGAGAACGGGGAAGGGAATTGGTCTTTAAGTGATGTCTCCCCCACCCACACATGTTCCCAAAACCTTACCATGTTTCCAGAACACAAGTTATACCTGACAAAGGGTAGAAAACAAGGAAGAATGGCATGGATGGCTTTCCAAGGTGTTGCCTCCGTTGCTCTAGCTGAAATTCCTGCGTTCCAGCCATCTGCCGTCATCCTGTGCATGCTCTTAATCACTTTTGTCCACAATTTGTCTTGATCCACCGGAAATCCCCATAACTACTTTCCTAACAAGGCTGTATTCCTCTTCTGAATGTTCCCAATTCCTAGACCCCCTAGCTCCTTACTTCTACTCATCCTATGATCCCTCTTTTCCCCTCCCAGTTTCCATAAAAAATCTCTCATTAGCTTCTCCAACCTTATACAGATCCCCGCAGGCATCCTAAAGATCGAAAGAAAGTAAACTGGCAGTTTGGCCAAAGTTGATTTGATCAAGGTAATTCTTCCACCCATTGAGAGATAATTCCTTTTTCAGGAGGCAAGCCTTTTTGAGAATCTATCCACTACCAGGTTCCAAAAATTCACGCTTCTAGGGTTGCCCCCAGAGGTAAATCAAATAATTCATAGGCTACTAACATACCTTATAACCCAATATTGTTGCACATTCAAATACCTCTTCATCTTCCAATGTTGATGCTTGCCACACAAGTCTTATTTGAAGTTAACTTTCAGATTTGTAATTTTCTCAAAGACTTGTATCACCTTCTTCAAGTCTTATTCAAACAGTGATTAAGGTGAGATGTTGTTAAATGTTAATGATATGAACATTTTTGCTGCTTGTTCTAGGCCTCTGGTGCATATATCTTTCGACCAAATGGCACATTCTCATCAGCGTCTGAAGGACAGGTACATCATGCAGCTTATATTAATGGATGATGATCAAATAAAAGATCATGCTGAAAATTTATTACTTGCCAAATTTTTGTGTCTGAAACAAAAGGAAGAATTATGTTGATTATTCTAGGCTCCTTTGACTATCTTGCGGGGACCAATTGTGGATGAAGTTCATCAACAGATCAATCCTTGGATATATCAGGTACATTTCTGTATTAAGTGTTGTTTATTTACCGTCTATGCCTTTCTTCGATTACAGAACCAGAATTATGATGATAAAATTAATATAGAATATTAAAAATACATCAAAAGTAGTTCCTAAAATAAATTTAGAATGATTTTCTTATAGTGAAAAAAATCAGTAAAAGAAAAAGTTGCATCTATGCAAATAGTGAAGAGGTCACATCATTAAGAAACAGAAATATTACAGTGATGCATTCAATTAAAAAGAATGTAAAACAGTAACTATAAGCAAAACTGCATGCCTATCAACTAAGAGTTCATACTCTAACTTTTCTTTGTTATTAGCATTGAGGTACCATGGTTTCGTTCATGAGTATTGAGATGTGATTAATTTGACTGGAGAGTGAGTAGATACCTTGGTGTGAACGATCATTTCCGACGTATGGAAAAATACTCCAGAAAATGTGCACTTTGTGATAGGTACAAGGTGTTGAAACAAATTCAGTTTTCCATGAATCTCAGTTTGCAAATTTAGTTGCAACCTATATGTTATAAAAAAAATTCAATTCCTTGGTTCTAGTGCCTTTAGAAAGGTTTTCATGGTCTAAGATCTTAGGAGCTAAGCAATTGAACTTGATCTGTGGGAGTTATGACTTATGACCATATTCTTGTCATTTGCAATGGAAATTTATTTCTTTAACTAAGAGTTTTATCTTGTAGTGAAACATTGCCTAGGAACAGGAGTTTGCTCTTCTATAATTAAGGGAGGTTTCTTTTCTATAATTGGCAACAAAAAGAAAATAAAGAGAGAAGGAAGTACAAGGCATGAAGGCCTTTGTTTTAATGGTTCAGTTAGAAAGAAAAAGAGAAGAGGAGAAGAGAGAAAGAGAAGGGGAAAGAAGAGAAACAATTGTCTAAAGACTCTAAACTGGAGAGAATGAATTCTCACCCCAGCCGACCTCAACTATATATAGATTAGCCAAAGAATACAAAGACTATTATGCCCCTAATTATGAGACATGTAACTTAAAGTGAAACAAAATAGAGAAAGCACAATTTAATAAATAAGAGAGAAGATACTAAAATAACCCTACTTAGCTAACTCAAACAGCCTTAAAGACTCAAGAGCAATCTTTTTTGTATTAATGAGATTTTCTTTTACCTTATCATCAGGGAAAAAAAAGACACAAGACCAAGAACACCATTAAAAACTGAGGAAGCAGAAGAATTTGTTGATGACAGAAGTTTTATTGAAGATCAGTGAATGAGAAAAACAGTGAAAAAGCCTAAAAAAAGTGGCTACAAAACCTTATACAAGAGAAATAATAGCAACATGAGAAAATAAATCCCCTAACCCACAAAATGCATACCCCAGAGTTAGTGCAATAAGGGCTCACAACAAGAACAACCACTAATAGCAAGCACATATAAATCCCCCAACAAAAAATGCCACAGATCCCTTCTTCTGCAGAAGTTGAATCACCAATTTGCCAAAAACCTTCATGCGACCAGTCTTCTGCTATCCAACTTCCTTTACAGCCTAATGGTCATAACCCCCCCTCCTCCAGTGGGCATCCCCAACTGCAGTGTACACTTTGCTACCTTCAGGTGGTAGATGAAATACATATTAATTCACCACCTTCGCATCAAATATTACCTTTTGATTTAGCTGATTATTGATCCCCATTTATCTAATCTCATTTCTAGGCAAAACATTCTATTCCTACCTTGAAGTTGGAAGGTCTTTTGGGCAGTGTGGTGATGGGACTTGAAAGTGCTTGGTGGTTAAGGGGGATAAATAAGGCTGGTAGAGTAGCCTGGAGCATCATTCCTACAGCAGTTTTTTGGGACTGTGGTGTGAAAGAAATAACAGAATCTTTGAGGGGAGGCAGAGTTCAAAAGAGGAGGTTTTCAGAAAAGCTTCAGGCATGTTGTTTTTGTGGGCAAATCACTCTCTGTTCAAAATCAGACACTTTTTTTTATTGGGATCATCTTTTTGTCAGGAATCTGTAATTTGTTTTGCTGGTTTGGCTTTATCGTAATTGGGTCACTTGGGTTTTCCCTCGTACAGATTCTCATTGTACAGGGGTTTCTGGGCTGATTGTATATGTTAGTTTTTTTGATCAATTCAATACATTATATATTTAAAAAAATGAGGAGAAAAATGAAAAGCAGTAAATATGTCAGTTAAGAGATTCTTCCTTACCTTTTATTTCTTTTTTTATCCCTAAATATACTTGTAAATGGTATTCAGCCTGCTGCAAGTGTGGAAGAAAGAAAGAAGAGGATAATAAAAGAAAATAGAAGAGAGGAGAGATTCCCATACAAGGGTGCCGTATCATGTTGGATAATTCGATTTTTAGTATTAATTGTCTTGGCAATAAATCTGATTGAAATATGAGGAAGTAGAGAAGAGAAGGGAAGAAGAGAGAAAAGAAGAAGAAAGAAAGGAAGAAGAAAATGTTTGGAGCAATGGAACGGTGCTGGCGGCGCTAGCTTCTATTATATTATATAGGGCGGCAGAAATAAGAAGGGAAAAGACTCTTGTGCCCCTGTTGTAAGTGAGTACAATAACAGAAATAACAGAAAATAAAAAACGCTTTAACTAGCCAAACAGACCCTAACACAAATAACCAAATTATTTCAACACTCCCCCTCAAGTTGGAGCATAGATGTCAATCATGCCCAACTTGTCACACAAATCATTGTGCCGCACATGATGAAGACCTTTGGTGAAGATATCTGCAAGTTGTTCTTCTGAGCTGACATATGGAGTACACACTTCTCCATCTACAAGTTTCTCTCTAATAAAA